TCCCACCGGGGGCTGGCAGCTCTGCGGGGACTCGAGAGGGGGCACTGCTGCCAAATCCTGCTCGGCAGAAAGCCTGCCGGTTGCTAAAATACATCTGCATCATCACATCTTGCTTTACTGGGGGGGTTAAGTTGGTTTCTTGGCAGAAAGGCAGATTCAGAGGAAGATTTTAATGGTAGCCCTGATGTAGCACCAGCGAAGGGCTCGTTAAGAACCCGGGCTGTTAGGAGAGCAGATGGGAGAGATGCTCCAGCCCCCTCCTCATCCTCGCAGCCCTGCGCTGGACTCTCTTCAGCAGCTCCTCATCTTTCTTGAACTGGGGAGCCCAGCACTGGACACAGCACTGCAGATGGGGCCTCAGCAGGGCGGAGCAGAGGGGGAGGAGAACCTCGTCTCGTTCAGCTGGGGATGAGTGAGGCTGGCCCTTGGGAGAGGGAAGTCGGTGACGTCCCCAGCTCAGCGCGGTCTGGTGTTTCTCATCCAACACCTGAGGCTTTGTCACTGGTCTGGCCGCGTGAAACATCTTCCGACGCTCGTTCCCAGCGCCTCGGTACACGGAAACGTCCGGGTTCGCTCTCGCAACGAGGGGAACGTTGGGATGGGTAATTTAGATTATATAAGTGTCCCAGGAACCTCCTCCAGTGATTGCCACAGGTAACCTGCATTTCTGCTCTGGACCCTGACGTGGCAACCGTCAACAGGTTTTCCACGCCGCAGCCAGGGAAAGGACCCCATTCCCGAACACGCAACCACCCCAACCCCGTGCTCGTGTAGGAAAGCAAAGGGAGAAGATTTTTTTTTTCCCCCTCTTTTTAACGGTTTTGGATATTTCTGTACCTCTAGGTTCCTCGGATTATCCTGTGGCTGATGGTCGAACTCGCTATCATCGGATCCGATATGCAAGAAGTCATTGGCTCCGCGGTCGCCACTTCTGTCTATGGGGAAGTAAGTGGGGTTTGTCGTCAGAGGGCAGCAGGAAGCGCCTGCCCCCCGCGAGCGTTAGGAAAGCGACCTTGTGCGTGCCAAAAAAAGACTCATTGATTTCCTATAAATCTCCCCAAATCAGCTCTTTGTAGAGGGTGATTCATGCAAGCTGCGCTAGCTCCCCGTCTCAGATGACTCAGCCTTTGGTGCCTGTTTCTTCGGCTCTAAGGAGAACTGCGGGATAGAATCACAGAACCCCAGCATGGTCGGGGTTGGAAGGGACCCCTGGGGATCCCCCACCCAGCCCCCTGCCCAAGCAGGGTCACCCAGAGCAGGGGGCACAGCACCGCGGCCAGGCGGGGCTGGAATATCTCCAGAGAAGGAGACTCCACAGCCTCCCTGGGCAGCCTGGGCCAGGGGTTCAGCTGGACCTTCCTCTGCTCCAGTTTGTGCCCGTTGCCCCTTGTCCTGTCGCTGGGCACCACTGGAAAGAGTCTGGCCCCATCCTCCTGACCCCCACCCTGCAGATATTTAGAGGCATTTCTGAGGTCCCCTCTCAGCCTTCTCTTCTCCAGGCTGAACAAGCCCAGCTCCCTCAGCCTCTCCTCGTAGCAGAGATGCTCCAGCCCCCTCCTCATCCTCGTAGCCCTGCGCTGGGCTCTCTCCAGCAGCTCCTCATCTTTCAGACCTGCCTTTTATTTTAGCTACCGCTGATCCACGCCAAAACTGGGCAGCAGCTTTCCTGGCAAATTTTATATTCCTGTTAAAGGACGACCAGAAAGACGTCCTCTTCGGCCAGGAAGGCTGGCAGTGCAGCCGTAACAAGAAGCCACAATTTTGTACCATTAGGTGTTCAAAGTCTCGCTCGCTGCTGTCGTTCTCAGCGTGGACGTGAGATTTGCTCTCCAGGGTCGGGGAGAGGGCCCTTATCCGAGCTGTTTGCGGAGAAAATCAACCTATGGTCCCGTGCCCCGGGCAGCCCGACGTCTTGTCAGACTGCAAACAAACCCTTGGGCAGCGCGGTTCCATCCCCAGACAAGCGCCCTGGATGAAAAAGAGCCGTTTGGACTCTCGAGCGTTGTCGCGGCGGGCGGGCGAGGTGGGAGGGCAGCCTGCTGTAGGCGACCCTGCTTCGGCAGGGGGGTTGGAC